ACAGAAAGCGAGAAATCACCCCCCAGGGGGGATGGTCCCGCCGCAAAGCCCCCCCCGGGGGGGATGCCCCCGCCGCAATCCCTTCTCCTCCATTCTCCTCTCGGGATCTTGGGCATGCATGCACACGCGCCCAGCATGGATTTTAAGCCACCGGGTCCGGGACGTGAACCGTGGTCCGACTACGTGGGAGTCCAGCAACATAGTCATTACGCTAACTGCTGGTTCCCTTGGAGTTGCGCTTTTTTTTTTTTTTTTTAAAGAAAGATTTTTGCTACAGGATATGTGCGCTTGAGGGAGAGATAGAGAGACACAGAGAGACAAAAAGCAAGAAATCACCACCCCCCCACCCCCGGAGATGGCCATGCTGCAATCCCTTCTCTTCCACTCTCCTCTCAGGATCTTGAGCATGCACGCACACGCATTCGGCCTGAGTTTTAAACTGCCATGTCTGGGACTTGAACCGTGCGTGGTCAACTACGTGGGTGTCCAGCGAAGTAAACTACTACACCATCTGCTGGTCCCAGGAGTTGTGCTTCTTGGTATTATTAAAAAAAAAAAAACATCATAAATAGACAGTATGAAAAGATAAGCTACAGACTGGGAGAAAATATTTTCAAATCAAGTATCTGACAAAGGACTTGTATCTAGAATACCAAAAAACCCTCTCAAAACTCACAATAACACAATTGAAAAATAAGCAAAAGACTTTAACCAAAAAGATACACGGTGACAAACAAGAGCATGAAAAGATATCATTAGCTATAAGAAAAATGCAATTATAGCCATGGTATCTATTACACCCCTTTTAAAATGGCTACTTGTCTATCTTTACAGTCATACTAGGATGACTCGCTGTATTGAATAAAAGTTGTAAAATAAACTCTTGTTATCTGATATGGAAAGTCACCCTCTACTTCTTCAAAACTGCTTTATCTATTTCTTACAACTTAATTTTAATTTCTTTTATACACAATCACATATGTCACTTAACTTGTAAAGTGAGTGTTCCAACATGAATACATTTGTCACCTGTCCAGTTGGGGATACTATACAAGTTATCATCTACAGATAACAACCTTTTTCTTTGTTCTGTAAATGTCTATCTATTGTTATCCTCTCCCCATCCTAATTCAATCCAAAAGGATTTCTAGAGCACTTTAGAGATAAAAACCAAACTGCTAGGTAATAAATTTTAATTAATTTGAACTGTTCGTAGCTTTCTGAGGAATACTGCTTTATATTCGGGCAGCTGGACAAGGGTGATCCCCTTTTACCAGTGAGGAAACACACTCAGGGATTCCAAATACAAGGAGCCCAATGATAGCACAAAGAAGAAAGAGCCAAGCTAGTACCAAAATAGAACTTCTGATCCCCGGGCTAGTGTTCTATTCTCCAAGCAAGCTGCATCCCCAGGGCTTTGCTTTTACCTAACAGAAAACATCTCAATCTTCAAGGCAGAAAAACAATGGAAATCCCCCGATTTTATACTACCAAATGGAATTTCCAAGATATTGTTTAACATTTAATTTCAAGCCAGCCACAGGAAATAAATGAGAATGCATCTGAAGAGAAGTTTTAAAAAAAAACAGAATTCAAATATTTTTCCACATAACTAATAAAAGCCTAGCAACCATTTAATTAGCATTGAAGTTAATTATAAATGAATGTTTACTGACAGGCTTTTTAAAACTGTGATTAACATCCACTTTAAAAAACATTCTCTAACATGCATAGAGAAAGACAACTATTAAAATGAACTACTTAACATTTGTTTTGTAACTTAAAAAAGCATCTATTCAGAGAAAATAATTATAAACAGATAAGTCAAAGCATAATTTTATTAGCACTTGAGAAAGAGTGACACAGTTTCTAAGAACATGCACGTTCATTTCCTGGATGTGAAACCACAGGCAAGTTTAAAATATTTTATCATATGCATGCACTTTGGCACGCTTTTTGAAAATCATTGCGCTCCTCTCCCCCTTTTTGGGTGGTAAGAAGAGTGGGGAAAGACTGTTTTCCAAACTCTGTAACAAATTTCAAAATAAAAAAAACAGACTCCAGTAAAAAGGTGTATTCTCAATGCCTCTGCGTATTTTTATAGTACCTGTCTTAACTAGTCACAATACATTTACATTACTTTCAATAGGTTGGCCCAAATTAACAGTGAAGTCTTTTTTTTTTTTTCTGCATTAGCCACATTCTCGCCCACTTTACCACCCAAAGAACATCTGCAGTCAGACTCTTGGCAGACTGTTCAGAACATTCTGCTGCTGAAAAAGAGAAACTACCACCCACCCAAGACAGCAACTGCCAGCTACTTACTTGGAGATTTCGACTTAGAAAAATCTAAAGTAATTCTGCAAAACCACTATCCTATTGCTGGACCTACACAGAAATATGATTGACTATGATATACCATAGACAGGTCTTTAAATGTCAACAACCTATCAATAGTTCAGTTAAAAAGTTTTTATTCTTTGGGCAGGTGCCTCGGATGCTAATTAGTGCCGAATACTAATTGACATGGAACTAGAAAAACAAAAAGGCATTGGTGTGGCTTTTATAGCAACTTATATTCTAAGAGGTCAGGAAACAATGCATGTATATCAACATAAAAATAATCACTTTATACAGACCACTGTACTTGAAAGCACAAAATTTTTCACTGCCCTTGAAAACCGTAGAGCAAACATGTTTGGAAATTTCTGAAAATGAAATTTTTTTTTAAGGTTTTTGCCATAGGGCACATGCGTTTGCAGGTGAGATAGAGAGGGAAAGTGAGAAATCATCCTCAGAGGAGTGAGGGATGGCCCACCACAATTGGTTCTCCTCTTAGGACTTTGGGCACGTGCACACGCACATACATACATACGTACATACATACACACACACAGAGTGATTTTCAAGTCAAAGAGTCCAGGACTTGAACTGTGGCTGGGATGTGGGTATACAGCACCTTAACCACCATACCACCTACTGGCACCCTGAAAATGAATTTTTAGATTTGGAAGGAACAGAATCTGTAAGGATGGATACAGGATTTTTCAAAAATTATACATGCTTCCAGGGCCAGTAGGTGGTGTGGTGGTTAACACACTGTGCATATGTGTGTGCATGTCCAAAATCAGGAGAGGAAAACGGAGAAAGGACTGCAGTGTTATCAAGTTCCTCCTCTGTCTCTCCTGTGAGTGCACATGTCCTATGGCCAAAAATTAATATATATTCCCTTACAGCTATAGCTTAATATAAGTGGCATATAGATATGTTTCAACAGTTATGACAATGAAAGAGAAACTAATCTAATCTAAACCAGTTATTTCTAAACTGTGGGACAAAGAGTCACTGGAAGAGTTGCATGAATGCACATAAAATCGTTGCCTGTAATTTAAAACATTTCTCTTATACACTATTTTTCAAATATCAAGATATAATAAAAAAAAGCATTTAAAAGCAGAGTAGTCTTTTTGCCATAATAAATAATCAAACAACAAACACTGAAGTACAATTATTTGTGCATTAGAAGTGCATATTCACATTTAACATTTTAGGGGCCTTTAAGCTAATATACAATTTAGGGGTCTTCTGGCTTTAAAGACTATCATTTTATGGGACTAAGAACTTTTCTAATAAATTATTTAAGATGATGATATTATACATACATATACATAAATAATGCTTGCTATGTGCCAAGCATTAGACTAGCTTTTGTTTCAAAGATGAGTAAGATGGGAACCAGCAGTTAGTGTAATGGCTATGTCACGGGACTCCCATGTAGTCGACTGCGGTTCGAGTCCCAGACCCGGTGGCTTAAACTCACACAGGGCGCCTGAGTATAAGAGCCCAAGATCCCAAGCGGAGAAAGAGGGAGAAGGGATTGTGGCGTGGCCCCCCCCCCCCCCCGGGGGGTAATTTCTCGCTTTCTGTCTGTCTTTCTGGCAAGCAAAGGCACCCTATAGCAAAAACCTCTCCAAAAAAATAAAAAAGATGAGTAAGACAGGACTCCAGACTCAAGTTCAAATTGGCACGAGAGATGGATACATGAACAAATAATACAAACTGATTGATGCTGCAGAACTGTTAGAAGCCCTTTGGGAGCACAGAGGTATTATCAGTGTTACCTGGGGGAGTCTAAGACAGTCATCTATGAATTGGGTTTCCATAGGTGGTAAAACAGGGAAGGAAGAGTAAACATTCTAGACGTGGGACAACGGCACTGAGCTGTTCAAGTGCACAGCATGTGTGGAAGCAACCAGTACTTTGGTATGGTTGGACATGAAAGCATTTGGATGAGAAGCGTTATCAAACTAAAAAAGTAAAATGGATAGGGATAACCCGCAAATGGTCCCGAATGACATGCTTAACAATTAGGACTTGATTCTGCCAACAATTGAAAAAGTTTAAGCAAAGGAAATATATAAAGAGTATGTATTTCAGAATAACTACGAAAGGATGATGGTGGGGAAATCAGTTTTTCGGGGGGTGGGGAGCGGAAACAGCAACAACTCTGGTGAAAGAAGACAGTGCAGTATAAAGAGGAATGCAGACCCGAACTAGAAACGTAGAGCAGGAAGGATAACATCATCAGAGATGGGATTCAGAAGCAAGCCAGGAAGAAAACCAGGAAAAGAGTAATACCCCTCGGAGGGCAGTTTCACGGGAAGGGTGATCCCTGTCAAATGCCGCAAAGACGTAAACTGGAAACTGAAAGGGGTTCCCTCCTTCTCCCCCACAGTGGTGAGCTCCCAGGGTGGGTAAGGCAGGAAGAAAACAGATAGGGAAGGTGTGTCCATTGAACTTTCGCACCTCTGTTCGGAGAAGAGGAGCGCGGAGCTGACGCCCGGCGGAGGAAGTCCGGCTCCCGGGAGAGCAGCGGCGGAGGAAAGCAGCTAGGGTCGGGCGACCGGTGGCTCGAGAGGCGCAAAGCACGGAGCGGCCCAGGCGAAGGCAGCTTCCTAGTCGCCTACGCCCGCTCGCGTCCCTGGATTAATCCCACTTACTCGCCTCTCAGTCCCTCGCAGCGCCGGCTGTGGCGAATTGGACTCAAAGCCTCTGCCAACCGAGACCTAGGGACCCAAGGGAGGAGTCTCTGCGCCCTGATCAAGTTCTTCCGCGAGCAGACGCAGAACCCGGCAGAGGCAGCTGAGTGTGCCTGAGGAGCCAGAGGGGCTCAGCCCCATCACTGCCCCAGGGAAAGCTCCGCAGACCGCCTCTGACCAGCGCTCCCGGAGCGCTCCAGCCTCGCGAGATTTCCTCCCTCGCGTTACCGTGGGGCAGAACCTACTGCTCGCCGATTGGCGCGAGAGGCAGGGGCGGGGCCCTCCTAGGTCCCTCCTTATTAATCCTCTCTCAGGCTTTCCCTCGGCCTGTGGCAAAGTCTCGCGAGTTTTTCCAGGGGAAACCGGCTGGGTGGAGAGACCGAGAAAGGGAGACCTGGTGGGTGGGCCGGGCCGTAGGTTTAGAGGGCCGCGGCTGGTCTGGCCCTTGCTGTCTCTGGTACTTCGCTGTTGGGAGGTTCTCAGGTTGCCCCGGGATCGTTCATCCCAGTGGGTGATTGGAAAAATTAGCGGGTAGAAGACTTGAGGGGAGGGTGCAGGCATTTATTTCCTTGGCCCCGCCCCCTTTCTGTTCGGTTTCTTGGGCGTTTGGCCCTCGGAGGGGGAAGGGAAGCTTGGCGGGGCTGCCTAAGAGCGGTCTGCGCACGCGCGAACCCGAGTGTGCGAGTGTGTGCACGCGCATGCGTGCGCGCTCCTGCGTGTAGAAAGCCTGGGGAGGATCGGTGTGCTAGGAGATGAGCGGGGAAAGCGTAGTCCCCAGTCTGTGGCAGCAGACACTCCTGACTGTGCGCTGACTCTCCCCTCCCAGCCAGCAGCCTTTCCCGAGAGGCTGTGGTTAATAGCCTCTGCTCGTTTTCACTACAGGACCAGGCACGAAAGTAAGCGAACCTCGATCCTGAGGTCTTCCCTATCCGCTTACCTTGTACTTTCCACTCCCGCCCCCACCCCCTAAGCGAAGTGTGTTTAGGTTTCTTGAGGAGAGTTTTGCATGAAGGGGAGATGCCTTTTTGAAAGCCAGAGAAGAAAATAGTAAGATCATAAAAAGTCAGTGCGTTTTAACGAACACTTAGGCTTTGCTTACCATGTGCTTTTCGAATGTGGATTGTCTATTCAGTCTACGATTTTATTAACGAAGCAAGGGAGTAACAGCTGCTCTATTTTTATGAGAAGTTTTAAAAGTTCTTCTCACCAACTTAGTGGTAGCATCTAAGTTTGTCTATTTTACACGTAAATACTGTAATGCTACAAACCCTGAAGGGAGGGTGTAAATTTTGGGTCCTTAACCCAAACCCGGAAAGACCCGAAATGCAGTTATCTTAGATACTATGTTTTGAACTTTCCTTTTGCTGTCACTCCTCTTTCCTGTTAAAACAAAACGCCTTGGAACGTTATTTTTGGAGGGAAGTCCCAAAATGCTGGCTTGGGAGTTACATGTGATTGATAATCAATTAGCAAGGATCATCAAACATGTACTTGAAGAATGATTTTTTTTTAGTTATTATGTTTGGTATCAGATACAATTATTTGTGAAAATGTTTTCTTTTGATAATTTTAAGTTCTTTCAAAATGAAAAAATACATTAACTGTCATTTTACTTGTGGTTTATGGAGTGACAGCCTAATATGAAAGTAACTTAGCCCTTGAATGGACATAGTTGTTTTCTGGTCATGACCCCATTAAATCTTGTCATTTGTTAGACAGATGTCTTTGACCACATTATTCATGTTCCAAACCAAACATTCTTTAGGAAAAGACATTCATTAGAAATCATTTAAGATATGGAATTTTATATGAAAACATTTGCCTAATGTATGTTTTTCCCTGACAGGTTAAAAGAAAATGAAGATTTTTTCTGAGTCTCATAAAACGGTGTTTGTCGTGGATCACTGCCCTTACATGGCAGAATCATGCAGACAACATGTGGAGTTTGATATGCTGGTGAAGAATAGAACCCAAGGAATCATCCCTTTGGCCCCCATATCTAAATCATTGTGGACTTGCTCAGTCGAATCTTCCATGGAATATTGTAGAATAATGTATGATATATTTCCTTTCAAAAAGCTGGTGAGTGTGAAGTATGAAGTCATGATTTTGGGAGTGTATTTAAGTGTGTAAGTAGCTTATTTATAGGTGAATTTGCTATGGATTTGACTTACAGCTGTTTGTGTATTACTTTAAATGGTGGTGCGTAGAACTGACCTATGGGTTTAATGTTGGGTGTTCCATTGGCGCTAATAATGATAACAGGTAATGATTATTGAATACTTACATGTGCCAGGCATATTTCAGAATGCTTCATGTTTATTAACTCTTTCATTCTCAAAGCAGTCCTCTGGTGTAATTACTACAGTTATGAAGCCAGTATTCAAAGCGTATGTAACAACCAGTAAGGAACAGGCATTGACCATTGAGAACCATCAGTAGCCCAAGCAGAAAGAATATTGGCTGTAAGCCAGCATGTGTCGGATTGTGCTGGTATGTAGCAGCAGGATATTAGTCTAGTTTATTACTTCCTTGTTGGAGATGCAGAAACTGAGGTCAAGAGGAGAAATTTGTCCTGTCACATAGGCAGGTAGAGGCAGAATCAGAATGTGAATGCAAGTAGGCTAGGTGCCTGCATGCAGTTTTAGTGGATGTATATTAGTATGGCCGTATTGAAAGAAAGGCTCTTAAGAACGTTAAGTGAAAATTGTTTTATCAATACAAAGAGAAACTGATAATGATGTCAAGTTTTAAAGAAATCAGGTGTTAGTATCTCAAATGTATTTTGGCAAGTTGTCTGGTTAGCCATAAGAAGACAGTTTGCTTTTTTATTTTTTCATCATTTAGAGCAGTCTAGGCTGGGACCTAACCAATTATTTATTTATTTATTTTTCTTTGGAGAGATTTTTGCTATAAGGTGCATGCGTTTGCCAGATAGAGAGAAACAGAGAGACAGAGAGACAGAAAGCGAAAAATCACCCCCCAGGGGGGATAGCCACACCATAATCCCTTCTCCTCCATTCTCTCAGGATCCTGGGCATGCATGCACACGTGCTCAGCGTGAGTTTTTAAGCCACCTGGTCCGGACTTGAACCATGATCCACTACATGGGAGTCCAGCGACATAGCCATTACGCTAACTGCTGGTCCCACCAATTCTTGTATTAGCAAAGGTAGAACAGTAACAAACAGTAAAGGTGAATTTAGAGAGTTCAGTATTATGCATTCAGCTATATTGTAAATTGAAATATAAATTCTTTCCATTTGCATTATATGTAAAGTAAAAAAAAAATGAGAGGAAAGATAATAAATAGGATAATAGTGATTTAGGGCTCAGGCTTTGGTTTAGCTCAGGCTCTTGTCTTTAGCTACCAGTGATGTGATTATAATCACATTTCTAAATTTCCATAAGCCTTAGTTTTCTCCCATGTAAGCTTGACACTTTCCTTGTAGGATTCAAATGAGTTAACCTGTCAAGTGACTAGTAAGATTTGGTTCTGTCAGACAAACCTTAGGAGAGAATACCGATGATCAACCTTTGTCCTTGAGGAAGGAAAACTAGTATTTCATTGATGTTAGGAAGACAAATCATGCTTTAGATTATATCGATCATGTTGTCCAGGAGAAAGAAAATAGGAATAGTTACCATCATCCTTAGGTGTATTTTCTACTATATTTCTTACCATCATTATCATCATACCTTGTTTTTTGCTTAGAATAAAGTTTGAATCCATTATTTGGCTTGCAGTGCCCTGTGTGATAGGGCAACTGCCTGTTTTTCTGAATTTGTCTCCTGCCCCACTGACTTTCAAATTTATAAAGGTACATGCTTTTTTTTTTTTTTTGAGAAGATTTTTGCTATAGGCCACGTGCGCTCGCCAGACAGACAGAGAGAGACAGAGAGACAGAAAGCGAGAAATCATCCCCTGGGGGGATGGCCATGCCGTAATCCCTTCTCCTCCATTCTCCTCTCGGGATCTTGGGCACGCACACACACGGACCCGGCATGAGTTTTAAGCCACCGGGTCCGGGACGCGAACCGCGGTCGACTACATGGGAGTCCAGCGACATAGCCATTACGCTAATTGCTGGTTCCCAAAGGTACATGCTTAAAAGTCATCACATTTAATGTTTGTTGTACCAAGCATGCGCTAGCTCTGGCTCTTTCAGTGGCTGGTTTCTTTTGGTCATTTTAGGTTCTCCTTAATTACCACCTCTGTAGAGAACCTGTCTCTTACTACCCAAGCTAGAGTAGCTCACCAATTTATATTTAATAGCGTTTATAACTCTCTGGAATTACTTTGTCCATTTATTTATTTATTACTTTCTTCTGGTTCTTCTTTCACCACACTCCCCACCCCTAGCTTTCTCCACATTGTGAATGACAAAGCTTTTATTTATCGCAGTATTCCCATATCTCTAGTACCAAGAATAGCACCTGGCATATACTAGGCGTTCTATAACTGTAAGATGAATGAGTGAATTAAGCAATGAACCAACATTAGAAATTGTATATTAGTTTAAACAGCGATGATGATTGAGTGAAATTGGAGTTGATTATTAATTGTTTCTTCAAACTCTATTAGGTGAATTTCATTGTGAGTGACTCTGGAGCACATGTTTTAAATTCTTGGACTCAAGAAGATCAGAATTTGCAGGAGGTATGATTAGCTTTGGAACTGTAATATTTTTGAAAATCATATAAATGTGGCAATACTTTTTTTTTTTTTAAATGTTAACTTTTAAAATCAATGTGGTGTTTGTACAGAGTTTTAAAACAAAATAATATATTTTTAAGATTTTTGCTATAGGGCATGTGTGCTCACTGGAGAAAGAGAGAGACAATGAGAGGGAAAGTGAGGAATCTCTCCCAGGGGGTAATGACCATGCCGCAATCCTTTCTCCTACATTCTCCTCCTGGGATTGTAGGAACTCAGGCCTCCTTGCCCTGTATGATTTTGAAGCAGTCAGGTGAGGAGGCCATGTGGGAGTCCAGTACTGTAACCAGTGCTGTAACGCCTCCTGCTGGCCCCTAAAACACAAAAACAGTTACCTGGGTCCAGCCCATGGCCTGGTGGTTCAGGTGGCTGGATACCACACAACCTAATGTGCAAATGGAGTACTAGACCTTGTGACTTGAGAAACATGCCAGGTACATGTGTGTATGTGCTCACAATCCTTCCAGGAAGGAAACAGAGGAAAGAGGATTGCCACGTGACCATGCCCCTTTGGGGTTTTCTTTCTTTCCCTCTCTCTGTCTCTCTCTTTGTCTCTGTTTCTTTCTCTCTATTTCTTTCTCTCTCTGTCTGGCAAGCACACATGCCCTCTAGTAAACTAACTAAATCCAGTTGGTTACATTTCAGTCTTTTCCTACATCTTTCTACTACTTTTTCTATTTTTTTTTTTGGTAGTGGGGGGGAGGTTTTTGCTATAAGGGCGCGTGCGCTTGCCAGAAAAACAGACAAAAAGCGAGAAATCACCCCCTAGTGTGTATGGCCACGCCACAATCCCTTCTCCTCCATTCTCCTCTCGGGATCTTGGGCACGCACACACATATGCCCGGTGCTAGTTTAAGCCACCGGTTCTGGGACTTGAACCACGATCGACTACATGGGAATCCAATGACATAGCCATTATGCCAACTGCTGGCCCCTCACGTCCATATTTTTATTCCTTTTAAAGAATTGTGCAATACTTTTATTAATATTTTTGAAATTTGACTAGACAGAAAAAGAGTGAAAGTGAGAAAACAAGCCACCAGATCTGGGACTGGAACCACAGCTGGCTGTGTGAGAATCCAGCACCTCAACCACCACATCATCTGCTGGCCCTCACTTCCATATTTTTAAATAACATGCTTTCCTTCCTATGTATTGAGTTTTACTGATTGAGGTTTATTTACCATTACGTTAGATTTTTTGACAAGTTTAAAATTCCATAGTTGCATTATAATGTCTACATAAAGTGTTATTCACAGCAGAATAAAGTAGTATATGTGGTTATTTTCTTGTCCAACTTTTTGTTTATTCCTGGAATTTATCATGTCCTTTTTTTATTTGCTTAATTTACTGAATATCTGTTGCTGCTTTTCTGATACCACAAAAAAATTCTCAATATTTTTGCTATAAATGCATTAGATAATATTTTACAGTTTAATTTTTCCCCCTAAAGAACTTTTTTTTATATGTTCACTTTAATAACAATATATGTATATACCATGTTATCACCACGGAATGTAAATTCAGATTAGGTGAGAGAATTTTACAAGTGCAATAAAATATTCTGTAGTATATCAAAGTTTGTATATAATGTCAGATCAAACCAGCTTGCTTATAAATCATTAATAACTTTCATTATAGGTACTCTGTTTAGTTTTACAGAGAAAATACATAATCCTACACACATTTAAAGTGTTCTCCATTTAGCTTTGTGTTAATGCTTAAAATACATATTTCTATTCCAAGATGACATTTAAAATTCATTCTACTCTAACAGCAGCAAAAATAAAATTCTGCAGTTACACAAGGGCTAAACTAGAACTCATAATTAAATTATTCTCATGTTTATAAGTGTGATTATGAAGTAAATGCTACTCTCCCGCCCCATTGCAAACTGTCAAGGTTTGGTTTAAACACGTATACGCATTAGTTAAAGGAGGCTTTCCAAATTATAGTCCATGTACTTTTTTGAAACAGTTCTCCAAGAGCTAACCAGCCCTAAAAACTAAAGTACTCAATCAGTCCACAAGAAACACAGAAAAATGTTAAATTAACTGGGGTAAACAAGACTCCTATATAAAACCCAAGGCAGGAGATATTCTGCAGCAAACTGAGAGTACTTCAAGGTTGATCTGTAGTCTTCTTTAGAACTAGTCCTGTCATAAGGGTTTAAGAAGGTGGACATTTTAACACTACACAGTACATTTAGGGGACTGGGTTCTTTTGTGTTAGCTTGTCTTCCTGAATGACCTAGCTAGTGAAGTGGTCACTAATAATTTGGGTCACCAGGCAAATCAAATCTGTACGATAGGAAGCTGTTATTCAAAATACTTTATCTGAACCTATCAAATTATTTGTTTGTGACACAAGCATGTAACCTCAATATATGATGTCTAACTAAAGAATTTTTAATTTAATTTTATTTATTATTACAACTATTTTTTTTTTGGAGAGGTTTTTGCTACAGGGCGCGTGCGCTCGCCAGACAGAGAGAGACATAGAGACAGAAAGCGAGAAATCACCCCCCAGAGGGGATGGTCAAGCCGCAATCCCTTCTCCTCTATTCTCCTCTTGGGATCTTGGGCATGCACACACACGCGCCCGGCGTGAGTTTTAAGCCACCGGGTCCGGGACGCGAACCGTGGTCGACTACGTGGGAATCCAGCGACATAGCCATTACACTAACTGCTGTTTCCCACAACTATTATTTTTAATTTGACCAGAGAGAGACAGGGAGAAAGCGAAAGTGAGGAAGGAAGCCACCAGGACCAGAACTTGAACTGTGGTTGGCCATGTGGGTGTCCAGCTCCTTAACCACTGTGCTGGCCCAGAGATGTCTAACTAAAGCAAGAATGTACGACAAGACCAAAATAGCATCTGTTCTTCTAAGGTTTGGGTTTTGCCCAGAATTCCCAATACATGGAATAGCGTATATCAAGAGTCATGACTCCCACAACAAAGCCTCAGGCTGCCATGTGCATGTGGATCAGGCAAATGGACATTTCAGTATTTCCCTGGCTTTTCAATTTGTATAATCCATATGCAACAATTGCTGCAAAACCTGCCATTCCAGTGGGGACAGATGGTGCCACTTTAGCTTTTTAGATAAGATTGGAACCCTGATCTTCATGAAGAAGGAGAAACATCATTGTTACTTGACATGGTGTCTAAAGAATCTTCCCAAGAGTTTCTGTTAGGTTCCAGTGCAACAAAATCCCTCACTCTCTGTCCCCCCGGGGGATGGCCATCATGTAGTCCTTTCTCCTCCATTCTCCTCTCAGGATTTTGGGCACACACACATACCTGGTGTGATTTTTTTTTTTTTTTTGGAGAGGTTTTTGCTATAGGGCATGTGTGTTCAGAAAAACAGAGAGACAGAAAGCAAGAAATCACCCCCTGGGGGGATGGCCACACTGCAATCCCTTCTCCATTATCGTCTTGGAATCTTGGGCACACGTGCACACAAACCCGGCGTGAGTTTAAGCCACTAGGACTGGGACTCAAACTGCGGTCGGCTACATGGGAGTCCAGTGACATAGGCATTACTCTAACTGCTGGTCCCTACCTGGTGTGAATTTTAAGCCACCGGGTCCAGAACTCAAATCATGATCAACTACTTGGGAGGCTAGCAATATAACCATTTCACCATCAGCTGGTCTGTCATAAGTTTTAAAAACAGAAAATGTGAGCCCTCCTTTGTTCTTTTTGAAGATTGTTTTGGCTGTTCTATGTCCCTTGCAACTCTATATGGATTGTAGAATCAGTTTGTCAATGTTTATGAAGAAGTCATTTGGGATTCTGATAGCCATTAAATTGAATCTATAGATTAGTTTTGGAAATACTACCATCTTAACAATACTCAGTATTCCAATCCATGAACATGGGAGTTTTTACTATTTATTTAGTTTTGTAAGTTTTTTGTTTCTTTTGTTAAGTTTATTCCCAAATATTTTATTCTTTTTGATGCTATTATAAATAGAATTGCTTTCATAATTTCATTTTTAGATTCTTCATCGCAAATATATCAATTGGCTTGTGTGTCCTGATTTTTAAAAAATTTAATTTAATTTAATTTTTTTTTTTTAGGTTTTTGCTATAGGGCACATGCACTCACAGGAGAGGAGAGAGACAGACAGAGGGAAAGTGAGAAATCACTCACCAGGGGGGATGGCCACATCACAGTCTCTTCTCCATTCTCCTCTTGGCACCAGTTTGGAGCTGGAACTGCAGTTGGCCGTGTAGGAGTCCAGCTGCCTTCATCACCATGACACCTGCTAGCCCTATGTGCTGATCTTATATCCTGAAAGTTTGCTGAAGTTATTCATTCTAACAGGTTTTTTAGTAGCTTGTCTAGCATTTTCTATGTGCAAAATCATGCCATCTGTAACAGAGAGACAGTTTTGCTGCTTCTTTTCCAATTTGACTTCCTTTTATTTTTTTTTTCTTAATTTCCCTGGCTGAAACCTCTAATACACTGTTGAATAGAATTGCTGAGAGTGAACATACTAGAGTTTTGTTTCTGATGTCAGCCTTTCACCATTAAATATGATGTTATTCATGAATTTTTCATACATACCTTTTATTTGCTAAAGATGTTCTTTCTCTTCCTAGTTTATTTAGTGTTTTTTTTTTTTATCATAAAGGGTCTTAAATTTTCATCAGATGCTTTTTCTGTGTTTATGTGGGTGATCATGTCGTTGTTGGTTTTTATTCTATTAATCTAGTTATCATATTAATTTATTTTTATATATTAAATCAGCTTTGCATTCCTAGTATAAATCCCACTTGGTTATAGTGTATAATTCTTTTCTCTGTGTTGCTTGTTTAAGTTTGCTAATATTTTGTTCAGGATGTGTGTGTCCATATTTATAAGATATATTGGGCTGTAGTTTTCTTACACTATTTTTGTCTGACTTCGCATGCATTGTCAGGGTAATTGTTTTCCCTTTCACTTAGCTAATGGCAGCATTAGCTGCTGTTGGGCCTCCAAATCCTCGGGCAGATCCAGAGTGTTGCAGTATTCTGCATGGTCTTGTTGCAGCAGTGGAAACCCTCTGCAAAATTACCGAATACCAACATGAGGCTCGTACTCTACTCATGGAGAATGCAGAACGTGTTGGAAATAGAGGACGAATAATCTGTATTACTAATGCAAAAAGGTGAGACATTCATCACATTAATTCTGTCACTGAGGGATTTTGATTCCTATTACAGTTTCTATCTAAAAAAAAGAAACAAGGACAGCATGTTAACATTTAAGCATGTAACTTTGCAAAGGGTTTTCTGATTTTTTCCTTCCTTTTAATATTGTGACTGTGTTTATTAAATTTTAAAATAAAGACTCATATATTTCTGTGAAAACTATTTTGTTTTGTCATCATGTAGGTCAGTGTGACTTTTTTCTCATTAGCTTCTCAGCTAGTTTGGTGTTGAGAGTGAGCACACTAAAGATAGAACTTACTGAAATAATTCTAAAGTCTATAACAAGATCATAGTGTTTTAAATTTTTCTTTAAGAGTTAATTCCTTTAAGTTTGTTCTATATTTTTTTATGCCATAGTGATAGTCATGTACGAATGCTTGAAGACTGTGTCCAAGAAACTATTCATGAGCATAACAAACTTGCTGCAAATTCAGATCAGTGAGTATAATCCATAAATGAATAAATATGTTTGGCTTCATAGTTGTATGTATTTCATTGTAATTATATTTAATAATTTTAAACTGATAGATAACTTTCCCTTGAATTCTCTACTGACTCAACAAATTACTCAAAAAATGTATCTTTGGGACCAGCAGTTAGCGTAATGACTATGTTGCTGAACTCCCATGTAGCTGACCACAATTTGAGTCCTGGACCTGGTGGCTTAAACTCACGTCAAGCACGTGTGCGTGTGTGCCCAAGATCCCGAGAGGAGAATGGAGGAGAAGGGATTGCGGTGTGGCCATCCCCCTTAGGGGAGTGATTTCTCGCTTTCTATCTCTCTCTCTGTCTCTGTCTTTTTGGCAAGCGCACACGCCCTATAGCGAAAACCTCTCCAAAAAAAAAAAATGTATCTTTGATCAGAAACTTTTTTTTTTCCATTTTTTTCTTTCACTTCAGAATTTTACTTATTTCCCATGGGAAAGGTGATTAGAAGGATAAAATAACATACAAATCTATAATGTGTGGTTTTTTGATGGTTTATTCTCACAGCCTGTGTTACACATTTGCAAAACGTACAAATTAATGGTGACATTCAGTCTATACCAAATCAAAACATAACAACATTACATTATGTACACTTTTCCCTAAAATTTTTTATTGCACTTTATTTGATTAATTGATTTATCTTAATTTGACTAGAGAGAGACACAGTGAGAGAGAGAGAAAGAGAAGGCAAGCCAACCAGATCCAGGACTCAAACCACAGTCGGCCATGTGGGTCCAGCACCTTTAACTACCACGCCACCTGCAGGCTCGTATGTGCTCTTTTTGGAAAGAAAAAAAGCTATGGAAAAGTAGAACACTTTTTTCCCCTCTGTTTGCACCAGTACCGTGTGATCAAATGTGTGAGATTTTTTTTTTTCCCACACGAATTCTCCTGCTCTCTGGATATCTGGTTGGTTGTCCTATAGTTCATTTATGACACATAACTTCCTGGAATTGGTGCAGATGCCACAATCGCACAAGACTGCCTCCACTTTAGACACCGCTTTCAAGAAGTGGCTCCCCAGGTTGCCCACATTTCTGTCCAGTGTGGCTACAAATTGCGTGTTCCCACAGCCCCTTCTCATGTTCTTTAATTTGCTCTGACAATTCACAGAACTCAGCGAAACACTGTAATCTACTAGTTTATAGTAGAGGATTTGATAAAAGACCCAGACAAACGGCTGTATGAAGATGTACACAGGGCAAGGTCTAGAAGGGACCTCCTGTCTCTGGAATATAACCACCTTCCTGACACTTGAGTATATTTGCCACTCTAGAAGCTCTCTGAGCTCAGTACATGAGAGATTTTTATAGCAGTGTCACAGAAATATGATTGATATTAACTCAGTCTCCATCTCTTTTCCCCTTCCCAGAGGATGGGAAAGTTGACCTGAACTCTTCCGAGTTTTTTTTTTTTTTTTTTTATTAATTATTTTATTCAACTTTACCTATCATCATTATTTTCCAGTTCAATCAGAGAAAGGGAAAGTGAGAAAGCAAGCCACCAGGTACAGGACTTGAACCGTGGTCAGGCATGTGGGAGTCCAGCACCCCCAACTACCATGCCACCTTCTGGCCCTCTCCCAAGTTTTTAATCATAGCTTGGTCTCTCTGGTGGCCAGCCCATTTTGGAGCTATCCAGGATTCCATGAAGAGTTGTTTCATTAGAATGAGTGCTGTGGCTATCACTTCAAAGATGCCAGTGAATTTAAGAGCTGTGTGTCAGGTCAGCCTCATAGCAATTGTTAAGCATCATGTGTAGGGAGCCAGATCCCACATGACCAACTGAAATTTGAATCCTGGACCTGGTGGCTTGAAAACCATGCTAGTATGTTTTTAATCGTACGGGACATAGAAATGGCGGGAAGGTATTACAGTATGACTATATCCCTCTGGATTCCTTTCTCTCTATTCCCTCTCTCTCTCCTCTCTCTCTCTCTCTCTCTCTCTCTGCCTCTGGCAGGTGCACCTGCCCTCTTGCAATAAAAATTGAGAATAATCCAGCCAGTAGGTGGTGTGGAGGTTAAAGTGCTGGATCCCACATGGTTCTCTTCACTATTCAAGTCCTGGACTCAGAGACTTGAGAATCACGCCAAGGGTGTGTGTGTGTGTGTATGCTCAAAATCCCGAGGAGAGTGGAGAAGGGATTGAGGCATGGCCATCTCCTCTGGGGGGTTATTTTTCACTTTTCCTTTCTCTGGCAAGTGCATGTGGTCTATAGTAAAAACTAAAAAAACTGTAAATAGATAAAATTTTTAAAAAATTAATAATAATAATAATGAAAAAAGAATTGTGTGTCAAGAACCAGGGTCTAAAACCAAATATTAGAGGAAAAGATACTCTGAGTACCCCTATTACTAAAGGAATTAAGGGTTTTTGGGGCGCTGTGTCAGGACCAGTGGCAGAGACCAAATATATATATTTCTTATTTCACAGCTAATCTAGACATATTTGGAATAATTGTAATATGGACTCTATTTTAGATTAGGTGATCATTAATTTCCTTTGGTGAGTTAATGGTGTTATTGTTATGACTAGGATTACTCTCATGGAGAGACATACTGAAGTTCTTGAAAGTGTCATGTCTTCTGCAGCTTATGCTCAAATAGTTTTAATTAAAAAAGGAAGAGTGGCCCATTCATAGAGGTGCAAGTGATAGGGCAATCCTGCCCAAGGTTGGGATCATATGAGTGGCCTGAGTTCAATTCCTGGGTCAACCTGGATAGGCTAGGCATGGAGCATGGACCTGTGTGATCCTAGCTAACTGAGAAACTAGGGCAGAGAATCAAAAATGCAAGACCTTGCCAAAAAAGCCTGTTTTTCTATCTCTCCTGGTCTCTTTCTTCCAAGCTTGCTCTGCTTTCCATTAATAAAACAAGAGTATATGTCTACTTAGGTACATATAGAGAAAGCAAAGATGAAAGGATATCTGAAGGATCGTAGAAAAATAAAATTAAAGCACAAGTTTATTTTTGGTTCAGAAAAATTTTGAAATCCATGCATAGTATTTTTTTAATGTTATATGTTTACGATGCCCTTTGAAGACTCCACATATAGCCAACAGTGAATCTAGGTGAAAGATATACAAGTGTTCATTGAATCGTTCTTTTCTTTCAACTTTTCTGTAGCTCTGGAAATTTCAAAATAAAAAATTGGGGGAAATTTTTAGTATTGCCTATCCTACTTTTTTTTTTTTTTTATAACCAATTATAGGTAATAGTATTGCTGGATTTTGTCCTTAGAAAACAGTAGTACAAGAGACATTAATACCATCATAGTAATTTTCCCTGAGGCAGGGTCTAAAACCAAATTATACTTTTTTTTTTTAAAGAGAGATTTTCGTGTAGAGCATGTGAGACAGAGAGACAGCAAGAAATTACCCCCTGAGGGATGGCCACACTGCAGCCCCTTTTCCTCCATTCTCTTGATATTTGGGGCACGTACACCCATGTGCCCAGCATGTTTGAAGCCACTGGGTCTAGGACTCAAACCACGGACTGCATGGGAGTCCAGTGATATAACCATTAGGCCATCCGCTGGTCCTGAAAATTATACTTAATTATAAGAATTTTTCCTTTATTTTTATCTTTCAAATAGAAAGTTACCATTTTGCATTTGAGTTAATAAAATTATTCATTGTGTTTTTACAAGTGTAGCAATTATGTGTTGTTTTCCTAAATGTTTATCTTTTGTGTTAACAGTATTACCTGATTGTAGCAATATATTATATTTAAGTATATTAAAGTTTTAATAGTTTACCTGCCTGAATTTTTACATAGTATGTGTTCTTATATTTTAAGTGAAAAGTTCCTCTTTAAGTCTCATGCAGATTCAAAAATGTGAGTTGGTCTTAATCCATACCTACCCAGTTGGTGAGGACAGCCTTGTATCTGATCGTCCTAAAAAAGAGGTAAATATAAAGCAGTGGAAGAAAAGATCATTGTAAGTTATCCATAATAAATGCTTAGAAGGATTAGCATTAAAATGATCATATTGTTGATATATTCTGCCAAAAAATACTGAGTTTTTAAAAATTCTTTTTTAGCACATTATTTTTCTTATTTACATTCCATCATTGTGTATCTTCATAACACACAGTATGGTTTTTCAAAGTATGCATGTAGTATATGACACTCAAATCAAGGATATTATCATTAACATCATTTTCAACTAATAAATGTTTCTTCCTTTTCCCCCCTTTATCATTCACTTTCCTCTATTACAGTCTCTGACATCTGCACTTATGTTCTCTACTGTCATATCTGCAGATCTTTCAATTTCTGCCATAGAGTATAGACATTCGGTACATATTAAGTGGGGATATATACTGTGTGTCTTTCAAAGTCTGGCTCATTTCACTTAGTATTAAGACTTCCACATTCATCCAGTTTGAATTTCTTTTTTCTTTTTCTTTTTTTTTTTTGGAGAGGTTTTAGCTATAGGATGTGTGCGCTCGCCAGAAAGACAGAGAGAGACATAGAGACAGAAAGCAAGAAATCACCCCCCCAGGGGGATGGTCATGCCACAATCCCTTCTCCTCCATTCTCATCTCGGGCTCTTGGGCATGCACGCATATGCTCCCAGCGTGAGTTTTAAGCCACCGGGTCCAGGACTCGAACCGTGTTCGCCTACATGGGAATCCAGTGACATAGCCATTACACCAACTGCTGGTCCCCTTTTTTCTTTTTTTTGAGGGGCACACATGCACATGTGCCTGGTGTGATTTTCAAGCCTCCAGGTCTGGTACATAAACTGCGATCAGCCACGTGGGAGCCCAGCACCTTAACACCAAGCTAACTGCTGGCCCCTACTCATTTTGAGTTTCTTTTTTTTAAAGATTTTTGCCGTAGGTCACGTGAACTCTCCAGAGACAGAGAAAGGAAAAATAAGAAATCACCCCCTGGAGGGAGGGTCATGCCACAATCCCATCTCCCCAGTGCTCCTCTAAGGAACCTGGGCACTCACACACTTGTGCCCAGTGTGATTTTCAAGCTACTGGGTCCAAGATTTGAACTGTGGTCAGCCATGTAGGAGTCCAGTGCCTCAGCCAGCATGCCACCTGCTGGCCCTGCACTTTAAATTACTTTATATAGTTGATTTCAAATTTAAGTTTACTGTGGTAAAAGAAAATGCTGGATATAGTTTCTGTACTTTTAAATTTGTAGAGGCTTGTTTTGTGCCCTATTAATGTGGTCAGTATTTGACACTGTTTCATGTAGAGGTGAGAAAAAGGGTACTTTGTAGTTGTTAGGTGAAGTGTTTTAAATATATGTGCCAGGTCCATTTGGTTTATGGTTATCAATTAGCTCCTGTGTTTCTGTTTATTTTTTGTCTAGATGACCTGTCCAGTGGTAACAGTGGGGTGTTGCCATTCCTAACAATTAATGTGTTGGCAGTCTATACTTTCTTTAGATCTAGCAGATTTAAAATATTTAGTTTTCAGAACATCTGTATGGCAAAACATTGAGTTTTTTTTTTTTTAAAAGAAAGATTTTAGCCATAGGGCATGTTTGCTTGCCAAAGAGAGAGACTGAAAGCATGCTGCAGTCCCTTTTTCTCTGTTCTCCTCTCAGGATTTTGAGTGAGCATACACACACGCCTGGTGTGAGTTTCAGGCTGCCAGGCACGGGACTCAAACCAAAGCTGGTTATTTGGGAGTCCAGTGACCTAACCATTACGCCATCTGCTGGCCCTGTCTAGGTTATTTTTTTAATGCTATAATTATAGATTTTAAAGTATTTTCTGTTTCATTTGCCTATTAATATTTAATTTAATAAAATGTTGCAAAATCATATTCAATTTGTATTGTTTCTAGAATTTAAGTCACTTTACTGAATTTCAGTTAGGTTAAACTACTTTTATTCTATGAAAATCTCTTTTTTCTCATTAGAAAAGCAATATTCTCTGACTAAATTTACTTCAGTAATAAATCAATTTTACATATTGTAGGACTGACTTTAAACATTGGTTTTACTTTTTTTTTCTTAGAGGTTTTTGCTATAGGGCGTGTGCGCTCGCCAGACAGACAGAGAGAGACTGAGAGACAGAAAGAGAGAAATCACCCCCCAGGAGGGATGACCACGCTGCAATCCCTTCTCCTCCATTCTCCTCTTGGGATCTTGGGCACACACGCACACGCGCCCGGTGTGAGTTTAAGCCACCGGGTCCGGGACTCGAACCGCGGTTGACTATGTGGGAGTCCAGCAACATAGCCATTACGCTAACTGCTGATCCCAACATTGGTTTTACTTTTTAAATAAAGAATTTTTAAAGGGAAAGATGATTCTATTGATTGTTAAATGAATTCATATGACAGTATTCTCTATTAGTGGTCTGTGTTTAGAAATACAGATGTAGTGACCACTCAGTGGCGTCATGGTTAAGGCGCTGGACTCCCACATGGTCAATTGTGATTTGAGTCCCAGATCTGGCACGTAAAAATCAGGCTGGGCACGTGTGCATGCATGCTTAAAATTCCATGAGGAGACAGGATTGTGATGTGGTCATCCCCCTGGGGTGTAATTTCTTACTTGTCCTCTCACTATCTCTGTCTGGTGAGCACATGCGCCGTATGGCAAAAAACCTTGAAAAAAGAATAACAGATATGTGTTATATTAAATGGACATGTACTTTTTTCATATTATTATAATATGAATGTGTCAAGTATTTTTTTAATTTTTTTTTTTGTTACAGAGGTTTTTGCTATAGGGCGGGTGCACTCACCAGAGAGACACAGAGACAGAAAGCAAGAAACCACTCCCCAGGATGGCTTGGCTCTTCCATTCTCCTCTCGGAATCTTGGACACACACACATACACATATGTGCCTAGCATGAGTTTTAAGCCACCGAGTTTGGGACTCTAACCGTGGTCGACTACATGGAAGTCCAGTGACATAGCCGTCATGCTATCTGCTGATCCTAGTCTATTAATGTGTCTAGGTACTAAGCAGTATTTTTAAGTAATACTGTATTGCTTCTGGTGTAAGTTTCTTTTTTTATTACCTTTTTTCCTGCTTCTTTCGGTGGCAATATGCTGGTTTTACTTTGTACATGTTAGTTATCCCTTTATCCAAAATGCATGGCACCAGAGTGTTTTGGATTTTAGGCTTTTTTCGGGCTTTGGAATAGTTGCATATAGATAATAAGTTATTTGGGGGATAGAACCCAGGTTTAAACATGAAATTCATTTATGTTTTATTCACACCTTATATGCATAACCCAAAAGTACTTTTACATAGTATTACTGTATTGCAACATTTTGACTGTGATCTATCACCTGAGGTTAGATGTGGAATTTTTAGCTTGTGGCATTGTGTTGGTGTTGAGAACTGTTTGGGTTTTGGAGGATTTCCTCTGCATTAAAGGAATATTTTTTTTACAGTAGGAGAAGAAAAAGTTTATGAAAAATACGTATTATGCAAAAACTGCATGGGGCTGGCAGGTGGTGTGATGGTTAAGGGTGCTGGACACCCATATGGCCGACTGCAGTTCAAGTCCCGGACCTGGCGGCTTGCTTTCCCGCTTTCTCTCTCTCTCTCTCTCTCGCTCTCTCTTGCTCTCTCTCGCTCTGTCTGTCTCTCTCGCTCTGTCCCTCTCTGGCTAAATTTAAAAGAAAAAAACAACTATGCGTGAACTTGAGAAACTTTTTATCTAAATAATCTGTACTTTAATTTCATTTTTACATGAACTTTTTGAAGTCATGTATTTTTGTGGGCTATTTTAAATTCATTTTGCATATAGATAAGTAGAAATAAAAATATAGGGACCCAGCAGATGGCATAATGATTACATTGCTGGACTCCCATGTAGTCTACCACAGTTTGAGTCTCAGACCTGGTGGCTCAAAACTCATGCTGAGCTGGGGCTGCTGAGCTGGGGCTGGCAGGTGGCATAGTGGTTAAGGGTGCTGGACTCCCACATGGCTGACCACAGTTCAAGTCCTGGATGTGGCAGCTTGCTTTCTCATTTTCCCTCTCTTGCTTTCTCTCTGTCCTTCTCTAGTCAAATTAAAAGAAGAAAAGAAAGAAAGGTTGGTTTAAAAAAAAAAAAAACTCATGTTGGGCATGTGTGCATGGATGCCCAAGGTCCTAAGAGGAGAATGAAGAAGGGATTGGGACGTGGCCATGGTGGGGCATAATTTCTCACTTTCTGTCTCTCTAATGAGTATACGCACCCTCTAGCAAAAATCTCTCTTAAAAAAGAAAAAAAGATATAAATTAAAACATATTTATATCGAAGACTACTCTTAAGTTTCATAGAGGACAGGGACTGTTTCTTTTCACTATTCTATTCTTCATACATTGTGACATAAAATAAACTCTGATTAATACTTATGTATTAAATGCATAAAAATCCATTGCTAAAATTATTGTCATTAACTTGTGAACTTTTTTGTGTGGGTTTATTGAGAGATTTTTGCCTAGGGCATTGACCAGTGAGAGATAGACACAGTGGGAGGGAAAGTGAGAAGTGCCCCCCCTCCCCCCCGAGAGGGATAACCAGCCACAATCCTTCTCATTCATTATCCTCTTGGGATCTTGGGTACTCATGCACATACACCCAGTGCAGTATTCAAGCCACTGGATCTGGGACTTGAACCGTGATTGGCCATGTAGTAATCCAGCAACATAACTGCTACACTATCTGCTAGTCCCACTTGTGAACCTTTTTATTTGAAAATGTTTTTTGAACTTCTAAAAGTAAAAATGGTTATTTTTTATGGGTTGTAGTAAATTAGTACTAGATTATAAACAATGTTTTTTGTGTATTTTTTTTTTTTTTTGCATACTTTTTTGTAGCTGTCTCTCGTGTTAACCAGCGAAGTTCACAGTGTTCGTGCAGGTCGGCATCTTGCCACCAAATTGAATATTTTAGTACAACAACATTTTGACTTGGCTTCAACTACTATTACAAATATTCCAATGAAGGTAGGCAGTTCTTTCTCCTGTTATTTTCAAAACTCTGCTTTGCTTTTTAAATATTTGTTCGACCTGTATTATTTATTTTAATTGAACCTTTACTTTTTCTTCCCATGTTATATTTTCTTGTTTTGCTAGCCCACATTCAGTGTCTTTGACCAGGTTAGTAAATATCGAAAGCAGTAAGAAAGGATCACAGAACAAAATGCTGTACTTTTTTTTCTAATAACATGTTACATGGGCTTGAAAAAAAAAATTCTTCATTATTTTTATTAAAATATAATTGGTATTTTAAATTATTTTTCTGTGATTCTTTTCCTGACACCTGTGTTATTAGATTTTCCTTACTTTGCATATTCTAATGGATCTTTTATTTCCTATATTTTTGTTCTTATACACTCATTATAAAGGTGTTTATAGTCATAGGTCTAACTAAGAGAATATAACTCATAGTTTCAAATTAGTTTGTTACTTTGTAGCTGAAAAGCTGTCTTTAATGTGAATCCTCTGATTCTTCTAAAGTATTTTCTTAGGAATCTATTGCTCTCTTTTCACTTTCATTATATTATTATTAAATTGTCTAGGACCAGTACAATGCCTAGCCCATAATAAACTTTTATTAAGTAGAATTAAGTTTAATTTTGTTCATTTTGTCTAAAAATTTAAAGTAGCCACTGTATCTAAAAATTCAAATTGACTTTGTTATGAGTCCAATTTCAATTTTTTGCCTGTATATGATGAACACTAAATTGCATGAAAGATATAATTCTTTAATTACTAATTTTCTTCTAATATCACTGACTGGTTCTTTACTAGAAATGTTAGGCTCACCCTATAGAACCTTTTGGATGCAGAAGCAGTTAACAAGTAAAATAATGTAATAAGTATACCTTAACACATCATTTAATGAGTTATTAAAAAGTACTCTGAGGGTTACAGACACTTTGCTTGTTAAATTTGAGAGGATTTGTGTGCTACTGGTGTGAGTCTCTTCAATCTTTGTCTTTTTTTGTTAAATAGATAATGTTGAAATTGCTATTTACTAGTTAATGAAAACAAGTTAGTAAACTTGTTTATTAGTCTGTTTTTGCTATTTTATATGACTGGTTTTTGCTAATTCCCCACAGATATTTAAAGATGCTATTTTCTCTTTTAAACAATAATTTCAATTTATGTAATCATTTTAATAAATTATTTATTTACATTATATTGTACATAAAATGTAAAGACAATGCCTTTGGAGTAAAAAAATTTTCAAACTTTCTGCATTAATCGTCTATGTTAATTCTGACATAATGTAAGAAAATCATTGAATACTTTATCGTCTGTGTATCTAACAGTATTTTTATATAGAATTTATATTACTGCAGAAAACTATTGCATCTTTAAATAGATTAATTACTGAACAAACTATGCTATTATTTTAGCCAGTTATTGCTTAATGTATTTGGCCTAACTAAGCCAAAAGCAAGATGAGTAATTAATAGTTTCATCATTTTGAAAACAAAACCAAGTTATTTGAACTATTTTAAATTTTGCTTTAAGGAAGAACAACATGCTAACACATCTGCCAATTATGATGTGGAGTTACTTCATCACAAAGATGCACATGTAGATTTCTTGAAAAGTGGTAAGAGACATTTGAAAATATTATTTTGTAAGACATATAAAAGCATATTAGTATCTCTGAGCAGTTCTTCAGTAAACCAACCTGATAGCCTGATTTATTCCTTTACAAATTTACCTGTCAGTATGTCTGTGGAGTAAACGTTCTGTCAAATTCAGTTTTGGAGAGACTAGGCTAATGGAACAAACGTTGAGAAAGATGGACATGTCCTTCTCAAAGTCGTGAGTTTTTTCAGACTTATTTCATAGGTTCTCTTTTGCAGGGAGAACACCTTGGGAAAGGGAAAAGGACAGAAACAGACTAAACAGAGGGATAGATCTTCTACTTGCCTGCATAAAAGTTGGAATTAAAGAGTTTTTCCCCTCTAAATACTGTTTTTTAAAAATTATTTATTTTATTTGCTATTATTTTTTGATTGAAACAGAGAGAGAGAAAGGGCAAGTGGAAAGCAAGCTGCCAGGTCTGGAACTTGAACTGCAGTCAGCTATGTGGGAGTCTAGCACCCTAAACAGCAGGCTACCTGCTGGTCCCATTCTCTAAATACTATTTTAATCACTAGGTCTGCCTTCCACAGCCGTAATTTTTGTAACTCCATCAGCATGGTTTAGAGGAAGAACCTATGGAATTAGGAAATAAGTGTTTTAGCTAAAACTTTGCTACTAGCTGGCAGGTCCTACATTTCCAAACTTCAGTTTGTACAATTATAAAAATGCTGAATTAAATTAACTGTAAGGTCCATCCAACCCTCGGGCTAGCAGGTGGCGTGGTAATTAAGGCTTTGGACTTGCACATGGCTGACTGCAGTTCAAGTCCTGGAGGTGGCTTGCTTTCTCACCTTCCTTCTCTCTGGTGAGCTCATGTGCCTTATAGCAAAACTTTTTTCTTTCTTTTTTTTTTTTTTTTTTTGGGGGGGGGGGGGGGGGGGTTTTGTATTTTTGGGGGGGGGGGGAGTGGTTTTTGCTACAGGTACGTGCGTTCACCAGAAAGAGAGAGAGAGAGAAATCACCTCCCAGGGGGATGGCCACGCTGTAGTCCCTTCTCCATTCTACTCTTGGGATCTTGGGCACTTGTGTACATGGGCCTGGCATGAATTTAAGCCAACGGGTCCTGGACTCGAACCGCGGTCGACTACATGGGAGTCCAGCGACATAGCCATTATGCCAACATCAAAGCACTGAGGACCAGACTGACACACGCTGCACCAGTGCTGGGAAAAACCATCTCCTACGCTGTAAAGATGTGCGGAGATTACAAGGAAATAAAAACAAATAAATAAAAATAGAAAAACACAATCCGAAAAGAGAACCGACAACCATGCCATTCTCCTCTCAGAATCTTGGGCACACATGCACACATGCCCAGTGTGAATTTAAGACACTGGGTCCAGGACTCAAACCGCAGTCATCTACATGGGAGTCCAGCGACATAGCCATTACACTAACTGCTGGTCCCGATAGCAAAACATTTTTAAAAATAAATAATAAACAAAATTAATAAATAATTCTTTTTTAAAAAAGATCCTTCCGGGACCAGCAGTTAACGTAATGGTCTTGTTGCTGGGTTCCCATGTAGTTGACTGTGGATTGAGTCCCGGACCCGGTAGCTTAAACTCACGCCAGGCGCATGTGTGTGTGTGCCCAAGATCCCGAGAGGAGAATGGAGGAGAAGGGATTGCGACGTGACCATCCCCCCTATGGGGTGATTTCTCACTTTCTGTCTGTCTGTTTCTCTCTTTCTGGCAAGCGCATGCGCCCTATAGCAAAAAACCTCTCCAAACAAACAAACAGAAAGAAATTTTCTGATTTACAGGGTATTTTAAAAGCCTTGAACCTTTGGCATTTGTTTTAACACTTTAGAATATTTTTATGTGAATTGATGCTATCAGAGAATGAAATAGTTGGCTTTAATTATATCGTGTGTATATGTTCTAAAGTGTAATACCATGAGCCAAACATAACATTTGTGTATGTCTGAAGAATCTTAGCACTATCTAATGATTTGCTAACAGGAGGAAAACTATTAAGATAAGTGAACATATTAATGTTTAACAAGGGAATGTGGAGAACTTGTTCTTAAAAAATATAATATGTGGAAATTGCTAAGAATGTGTGAAGTAATACCAGTTTTTTTTTATCTTTTTAAAATTTTTTTTAATTAATTAATTTACATTCATTCACTGAGCATTGTAACAGCATATAAAATGTAGTTTCCCATCCAGAAGATGCTGCATAGTAGCTTAATCATACATGTTATTGTCAATAAATTCCCATTTCTAGTTTCTCATATATGTATGTATATGTATTTTTCCCCCTATTTCCCACCTTCCTCCCACACTATCTCAGTTGTCCACAGTTGTTTTCCATTCCTCTTTCCCCCCACATTTTATTGATTCACAAAATTTCTTAAATAATCTAACGACTTTGAATAGCAAGCTCTGCTGATGTATACATATCTATGAATACATGTCTGACTTAAGGCATGAAACTGAGTAGAATGAATATACTATAAAGTAGCACCTACCTGATGCTATATAGTTTACTATGGTCATTAATTATGTATTTTTTACTATTTTTTTTTAATTTCACAAAAAGCAGATTTAACTTTGATAAAGCAAAGAAATGCTAAGGAAATATGCTTAAAACTTAAAGCCAGGAAACAGGTTGGGATTCTGTTCAAATAGTAGGTACATGAACCTATCAGCAGCTCAAGACAAGACAAAAAATCCTTAAAATAGGAAAACAAAGCCTAGAAAAAAAAATCAACAATGTTTTAGTCAGAAGTCATAAAATTCTATTTCACCAGTTCAGTCTCATGCACTTTATCTTTCATTGTGATTCAATTTTCTCAATTAAATTCTGGGATATAATATTCAACTCCAGGCTTGTCCCCACAATTAAGTTGGCCATTTTCTTAGTTTTCGAAGTCTTATTTCTGTGTGACTGTACTTAATTTTCCTGATAGCACTCCCTGCAGAATTTCTTAGAGATCTGGTCTGGTGTTGGTAAATTCTTTCAGATTGTGTTTATCTGAGAATGTTCTTGTCTTTTCTTCCCATATGAAGGATAATCTTGCCAGATATAGTATTCGTGGTTGCAGTTGTTTTTCCCTTAACACTTTGAATGGGTTTTCCCATTCTTTCTTCACTCGCATTGTTTCCGATGAAAGATCCACTGTCAGCCTGATGGGATATCCTTTGTAGGTAACTTGATGTTTTTCTCTTGCCAATCTTAGTATCTTGTCTTTGAGGTTTTGCTCAATCTGGCTATAATGTGTTTTGGAGAAGATCTTCTTGGGTTGATTCTATTTGGGGTCCTTTATATTTCTTGGGACTGGATCTTTGAATGCTTCTCTAGGTTTAGAAAGTTTTCTTCCAGGATTTCAAATACCAGTTTTTAAAATACTTATTTTTAAAACTTAGAAAATGCATTAAAAATATTCTTTGTAATAACAAAATATTTCTCTAGAAAAGTTTTTGACTTTACCTGTTATATGTGTTGCATGAGGACACCATGTGTAAAATGCTCTTGTAGCAATAGGAACAGAGTATTTGGGTCACAGGAGAGGCTGCATGTGAGTATGCCTCTAGAAGTAGGCAAGCCCTGCTGAGGATAGAAGGGCTGGATCTTGTTGAGCATGTTGATTCTTTGACCCAGGTTATCTCCCCTGAGTTCCAGATTTATATTTCCTACTACCTAATTGTATTTCTTCGATATCTGTCAGCGTGCCCAAAATAACTTAGGAACTTGGTCCCCTGAAATGTTCTTCTACTTTTCCCTCTTGCAGTAAATTGCCCTTTTGTCTATAGTTGCATAAGGCAAAAACCTCAGGATAATCTTTGAGACATTTCTCTGTTCATTTTTATCTGTTAGGTCATTTGAAAGGTCATAGTGTATTTTTCTGTGCAAAACTGCATCATGACTTTCCCGACGACCCAGTAATTCATTATAAGAGTTTCTTGATTTCATCTACTAAGTATCTCTCAATAGATCCACACTTTTATCTCCACTACCATTACCATCTCCATCATCGAGCCCGTTTATTTCTCACCTAGTATCTCACAGTATCCTTTCTACATAGCTGTGTATATCTACTCTACCCCTCAGCTAGAATAGCACTTTAAAAAAAAAAAAAAAAAAAGATTTTTTGCTATAGGACTCATGCATTCACCAGAGAGCCAGAGGTAGATAGAAAGTAAGAAAACAACTCCCCAGGGGGGATGGCCATGCTGCAGTCCCTTCTCTGCCATTCCCTTCTTGGGATTTTGGGCATGCATGCACATGGGCCTGGCATGAGTTTGAAGCCATTGGGTCTGTGTCTTGAACCACATTTGGTCATGTGGGAGTCTAGAGAGGTAACCATTATGTCATCTGTTGGTTCCTGGATAAACTTTCTGAATACCAATCCCAAGCATGTTCCCATTAACTCAGAACCTTCAAATGCTTTTACAGAAGTGTTTAGATATTATGTGAAGCTCTGTTCAATTTACAGCATAACTCCTCTTCTCTCTCTTTTTTCAGCCTCACAAATGTGGTGTTCTCCATGCTTCCTCCTGCACAGTGTCTTGGCATCTGCAGTTCCCTTTACCTGAATCCTCCTTCCTCCATTTCTTGTTGTTGTTGTTGAAGATAGGATATCTCTCTGTTGCCTAGGCTGACCTCAAACTCCCGATCTTCTAGCCTCAGCCTCCTAAGTAACTGGGATTACAGGCGAGAGCCACAATGCTGTGCTCATTTCTTTAATTAATTTCTACTCATCATCTTAGAGCTCAGACCATACTTTACTTCTCAAGGAAGGTTTCTTTGGTGTTCTGGAGTAAGTCAGCTCTCTGTGTAGGTGCTCGTTGCACAGTACACATCTCCTTCAGAACTTTGTCAACTTACATTTGTTTTTTGATTAACATCTGTTTACTCCACTTTATTGTAGACTCCACTAAGGAAAAAAAAATGCTAATTGTTCTGTATCCTTACTTATTTACTTCCTAGGTCCTTTGGTTTATGTTTCTTCTAAATAAACTTACTCAGTGTAATTACTTATGCATTTTAGAGTCCTTAAGCTTTCTTGAAGCACTTAACCATGTTATTTTATCATGTAATGGTGTTGTCAGGGGAGAGCAGTTGTAGATGTTTGAAATTTTAAGAAATTTTGCTGTTGAGTTTCAGGGCAGTGATCTAAATGATTAATTAATGAGAAATTTGAAGAAAAATCATGCACTTACATTAATCCTAGCTAATATCCATACTGTATTTGACACTTTGTAGGGGACTTTATAAGAGAGACATTCTCCCAGAGATACTTTCTTTCATAAGGCTTAAGCTCATTTGCAAACCTTGGATAAACATTTTGGAGTTTGTAGTCTATTTAGTAATGTTAGTGTTTCTCTGACTTTTTTTAAAGGTGACACCCACTTAGGTGGTAGCAGTAGAGAAGGCCCGTTTAAAGAAACGATAACATTAAAGTGGTGCACACCAAGGACAAATAACATTGGTAGGTATTTAAAATAATTTAAAAAGGGGCCAACAGGTGGCATGTCGGTGATGGTGCTGGAGTCCCATATGGCCGACCACGGTTAGAGTCCTAGACCCTAAGGCTTGAAAATCATGCCAGGTGTGTGTGCATGCATTCCCAAAATCCTGAGAGGAGAATGGAGAAGAAGGGATTGAGGAATGGCCATCCTCCCTGGGGGAGAATTTCTTACTTTCCCTCTCTTTTCTTTGTCTCTGGCAAGCATGCACCCTGTAGCTAAACTAAAACAAACAAACAAGAAAAAAAATGAAAGAGGAAAGAAGAAAGGGTTCTTAAGGTATTACATGGGCATTGGATAATTTAGTTTTGAATTTTTGTTTTTCATTGTTTCATCAGCTCATTGAGCAAGTTGCTTTTTTCTTCTTATTGTGGGAATATTTCTTTATATTCTTTCAAATCAGTGTTTTCTTCTATTTCAGAACTACACTATTGTACTGGAGCTTACCGAATTTCACCTGTAGATGTAAATAGTAGACCTTCCTCCTGCCTTACTAATTTTCTTCTGAATGGTAACTTTCACTATTTAATGGTTTTAACTGATTATTACAAGTGAAATCATTAGTGAGAATATGAACTTTAGAAAGCTATTTTATTCTATATAATCAACAGTTTATTTACGAAAACTTTTTAAACTGAAGTGATTGGAAATACCCTTCATCACTTTAAGGTTAAAAAAAATAAGGTGACTGGGACTAGCATATGACATAATGGTAATGTCTTTAGACTCCCATGTAGTCAACCTGCAGTTTGAGTCCTGGACCCAGCAGCTTGAGACTCAGGCTGGTCACGTGTGCATATGTGCCCAAGATCCCGGGAGGATAATGGAGGGAAAGGGATTGCAGTGTGGCCATCCACCCCGAGGGATGAATTCTCGCTTTTGTCTTTCTGTCTGTCTGGCAAATGCATGCACCCTATAGCAAAAAATCTCTAAAAATAAAATAAGGTGACTTTATGTCTTACTCTTTATTGTATCTACAAGATCTTATTTAATAATTTTTATTTTAAAAATTTAACCTTTGAGTCTAAATTCATTTGAATTTTAAATTTCACAGTACAGATCATCTCTGACTTGGAATAATTCAACTTAGAATTTTTTTCACAATGGTACATCTAGTACCATTATACTTTGAATTTTGGTTCAAAATTCTTCATAGTAACTTGGCTTTCTATTAGATGACTTTGCTCGCTTGTAAGCTAACATAAATATTCTGAGCACTTTTAAATTAGTCTAGGCTAGGCTAAGCTATGATGTTCACGAGGACAGGTATATTAAATGTGTTTTGTTCTTAAATACTTTCAACTTCTGACAGGTTTATTGGGACGTGACTCCATTGTAAGTTGAGCATTTGTATACATGGATTTATTTCTCTTTGAACACTATACCTTTATTACAAATAAACATTTTTAGTATTATACCATGTGATTCTTACATATAACCTTAAATCTGTGATTTCCTGTGTGAAACTGTTTTGTAAGTCTAAATTATTGGATTCCACTTACAAAATGTAAATTTTCTAAGTTCCTCTCATAACTCTAACAATCAGCTAGGTTTGGAACTATGATCTAAGGAGTCAGTCTGTTTTTATTATCACATTAATTTCATTGTTAAGTAAATTTGGTTTTCAGACTTTGTAAAATTCAGATTAAACAGATTAAACATTTGGACAGGTGGAGTAGGGTCTAACTACAAATATCGGTGCTGATGAGGGATTATTATAGAAATGAATTGAGACTCTGCCTCTTCCCTAGGTGTTTGTAGCACTAATGACCTGAAGGCTATCCAACAAATAGAAGTATTCTTAATGTCCAGGAGAAAAAATTGTATATGACCTTGAAATTGAATGAATCTTATAACAAAACATTTTAAACCAGAAACCACAATACTTGTTTTGGAAAGCTAGGTAACTATGTAAGCTTGGAGTAACTAAGGAAAGATAAGACTAGATTCAGATGTTTAGGAATTTAAATGTAGCTATGCTAAATTAGTGCTGGTTAAAATATGGGGGGGTCAATGAAGAAAACAAAATTTAGACATGAATGTTAAGGAATTAAGAGTCCATTTGAATTTTGTTACCAATAGTGTAATCTTGTTTTTGACAGGTCGTTCTGTTTTATTGGAACAGCCACGAAAGTCAGGTTCCAAAGTTATTAGTCATATGCTTAGTAGCCATGGAGGAGAGATTTTTTTGCACGTCCTTAGTAGTTCTCGATCCATTCTAGAAGATCCACCTTCAATTAGTGAAGGATGTGGAGGAAGAGTTACAGACTACCGGATTACAGTAAGACTCTAATATGTATAAATTTTATGTTTTGAGTCTGTCATTATTCAGCATGTAATTGTTGAGTGCTTATTCTATGGTAAGATATATGTAATGTATGAGGGAAAAGAGTTTGGAAGAAGTCAGTTATTATTTTAATTAGGTGAATTTCCTATATTTATTCAGAATATCCATTTATCACTAGTAGTAGTAGTAGTCTTCCTTATTTTGAGTTCATTATGTATATGTATTATGTAAAGTACCTATATTGTATCAACACACTGGAATTATAGGACAGAAGTAAAATTGATCTGAACTAAACATCTTAGGTGGAACTTAATTTTTTAGTAATTTAAATGGCAAGCAGAAATATTTGAATATTTGGCTGCTACTTTGAAATAACACATTTTTGTATGGGAGGAACACACAAGGAAGTTGTATCTATTTTTAGTAGAAATTTTGTTATTCTGAGGCTGGCAGGTGGCATGGTGGTTCAGGGCACTGGACTTCCACATGGCCAACTGTGGTTTGAGTCCTGGAACTGGCGGCTTGCTTTCTCACTTTCCCTCTCTCTCTCTGGTCAAATTTTAAAATAATAATACTAAAATTAAATAAAATAATTCTTTAAAAAAATCATTAAAGAAAAGAAAAGAGGGACCAGCAGATGGTGTAATGGCTACCTTGCTGGACTCCCATGTAGTCAAACCATGGTCACGCTGGGTGCATGTGCATGTGTGCCCAAGATCCTGAGAGGAGAATGGAGAGGGGAGTGTGGCCTGGCCATCCCCCCTGGGGGGTGATTTCTCGCTTTCTGTCTCTCTCTGTCTTTCTAGCAAGCATATGTACCATATAGCAAATTTTCCCTCCCTTTCATAGCTGGTATTTCATGGCTGTCTGCTTTTTGAGGTGGTTGTAAAAATTAAATGTGATTTATATATATGGTCATACCTTGTAACTTATAAAATACTGTATACTATAAGTAATTGTTTTAGATTAGGCTTTTTTAATGTAATTTTTTTAATAAGGAGAAAGTGCTTATCATTTATTGTAGGAAGTCTAGAGAATATAGACCTCCAAAAAAAAAAAGAAAGACTTTAAATTACCTATAATTCCATCATTCAAAGATTAACCACTGTTAACATTTTGATGTTATATTAAGGTAGTTTTTACGCAAGCTAATTGGCCTTGTGATTAGCCCATGTTTTTGATCTGTATGTGATTTTAAAAAAGTTAAATTATACGTTCTTTGGTTTTTAAAAAGGTGAAAGTGTCATGAATGTATTTATGTTTGAGACTTCTATTACATAAATGCTGATAGGTTTCAAGTTTGTAAGAAGGGGAAAAAATAGTGGCAATGGGGGTTTGTTGTGTGTCACAGGACAGAAGACATCAGGGAAACAGACTATTACATGTAGTCCATACTGAAACACTAGAAAGAGTTTCTAATTTTGTCTTATTTGGTTATCATTAGGATTTTGGTGAATTTATGAGGGAAAACAGATTAACTCCTTTTCTAGACCCCAGATATAAAATCGATGGAAGTCTTGAGGTCCCTTTGGAACGAGCAAAAGATCAGTTAGAAAAACATACCCGGTACTGGCCTATGATTATTTCACAAACCACCATTTTCAACATGCAGGCGGTAAGTGTTAAATAGTTCACCTTTTTTCTATATGATTTATATATATTCTCTATGGAAACAAAGTAGAAAAGTTGTAACTTACACCACTTCTCAACAAAATGTGAGTTTGCTACAGAATTGAAGAATTAGTTGAAAATTGAAGTGATAGCTATAGATTCTGTAACCACAATGATCCTTAAAATCAGTTTTAAAATTAAGTTCTACTTAGGTATTTTGATACTCATTTTTCAAGACAGATATTCTTTTTTTCTTTCTTTCTTTCTTTTTCTTTTAAACAAACCTAACAGGTAGTTCCATTAGCCAGTGTTATTGTGAAAGAATCCTTAACAGAAGAAGATGTGTTAAACTGTCAAAAAACAATATACAACTTAGTTGATATGGAAAGGAAAAATGATCCTCTACCTATTTCCACAGTTGGTACAAGAGGAAAGGGCCCTAAAAGGTAGTTTTTTTTCTTACTTTCTTTATACATCCCATCTATTTGATATATTCTATTCCTTATAATAACTTATTTCATATGTAAGTTATAGTTAAGGGTGTATACATATACATACATATAATCCAGATGAAATAGTGAATAGCAGAAATGGATACATTGTAACTTAGAATTTCTTCATTTTCTCTCAAAAAAGAATCTGTTTATTTCCTTTCACTATGCCATTAGAAAGTGTTACTTCAGTATTATTTTAAAAGTATTTTAACAATCTTATTTTAAATCTTTACTGCAGAGATGAACAATACCGTATCATGTGGAATGAATTAGAAACACTTGTTAGAGCGCATATCAACAATTCAGAGAAACATCAAAGAGTACTGGAGTGTTTGATGGCATGTAGAAGCAAACCCCCAGAAGAAGAAGAACGAAAGAAACGGGGGAGGAAAAGGGAAGACAAAGAGGACAAGTCAGAGAAAGCAGTTAAAGATTATGAACAGGAAAAATCTTGGCAGGATTCAGAAAGGTGAATTTTTGGTATTACTATAGCACCATGGTGCCTTTCAGCACATCACGTTCTGCATGTAGGGCATTCAGACACGCAAGTATTAGTAGTAGTTTAAAGCTGTGATTCGGTTTATAGCCTTTAAAATCTAGAAGAGCTGTCTTGAGCTTAAAGAGCAGGTGGTGTGAGGTTAAGGCACTGGACTCTCACATGGCCAGTGATAGTTTGAGTCCCAGACCTGGCAGCTTGAAAAATCACACCAGGTGCTGTGCATGCATGGCCAAAATCCCTAAAGAAGAGGGGAGGAGAAGAGCCTGTGGCATGGCCATGCCCCTTTGGGGGATGATTTCTCACTTTTCTTCTCTCTGTCTCTTTTTGGTGAGCACACATGCCCTATGGCAAAAAAATTTTAAAAACAGAAGTATGAATTTTACTGTTAGGAGCAAAGATTATGTTTATTTTTCTAATTAACTTCTGAAAATCATTATTTCATGATGTTTGGTGTCAATACATGCTTTATGTGTTATGAATTTCAAAGACATAATTTTATTCTTTCGTTTTATAAATACTTCTTGAATGCCTCTGTTGTGCCAGGCATTTGGCACAGAATCACTGGTGAAGAACCTGCAGTGTTACAGTAGAGCTAGGCAAGTAAGTCAGTGATTATAGCATGTGCTGTTTTACAAATGAGCCCAAGGATGCCTTTGAGAGGAGAAAGAGTATACAGCCCTAATTTAAAAGTATTTCCCAACAATACACTCTTTTCTCTTAGTTTGTAATTTAGTGACACTAAGGTTAAATGTGAAAACCATAAAAAGATAATAAAGGCTTATAAATAACATCATAACATGTTAGATGGCTGCATATCCTCCCTCTTTGCTAGAATTCAGGTACACAGTCAGGTAGATACTACAGTGGCAATATTGTAGCTCCCTTACAAACAAAACAGAATTGTTTATTAGAGAAAATTTAGAGCATACAGTAGAATCAATCGGTGCCCACCAACTACCTTCAGCAGTTACCGGTTCATGGCAGATCACATTTCATATACATTCGTGTCCACTACTCTCACTTCTACCCCCACAGGAATATTTTCAAGCTAATTCTGGAAATCATCATTTTCTCCATAAATAAATAGAACACTTTTATTCTCTTTGACTTTAGAAGTTCATTTCATCATTAGGGCTACTAAGCTTCCGAAACAATTGGCTCTTTGAAAGAAGAGGGAGAATACTCATTCAGCTTTCACTGAGCTTCATATATACATATATATGTGTGTATATATATGTGTGTATATATACATATACACATATATATACATATTTGTATATACGTATATATATATATATATACACATATATGTATAATTTTTTTTTCTTTTAAAGAGGTTTTTGCTGTAAGACATGTGGGGTAGTCACAGGCGAGACAGAGAGACAGAAAGTGTCTCTCCAGAAATCATCCCCCCAGGGAGATGGCCATGCTGCCGTTCCTTCTCTTCCATTCTCCTTTCAGGATTTTGGGCACTCATTCACACATGCATTATTTCAAGCCGCCAGATCCGGGATTTGAACTGTGGTCAGCCCGGTGGGAGTCCAACATCTGAACTGCTACACCATCTGCTGGCCCCTACCCCTACATATTTTGGAAGTATTTTTGCTCTCGATGAAATGCAATAAAAACTTGGAGTTAAGTTCCTAACTTGTGGAACAAAAATACGTTTCCACAGTATACAAACTAGAGAAAAGAATGATAGTAAACTTCTTAATCTTATTTGTATTTCCTAGTTGCATTTTGTTCATATCTTTAAAGAATACATTGTGAAGTTTCCTTGATGATCCCATTATTTCTCACCTTTTAAATTTTAGCTTAAGTTTTCCTCTATTTTTTTTTCAATATTTTATAGCCAATTCTTACATTATTGCATTATTACTGTGAGAGAAAAGGGAAGCGTGTATTTAACACTAAGTTCTCTTCCCTGATTTTTGCTTTAGATTTCTGTCCCCAGATTGATTTTGTGAGATCAGCTATCTTTTGTGAAGATTGATATATAAAAATACTTAGTTACTGGGCCATTTTAGACTCTTAAATATTTAAATTTTACATTTTATTGTTTGTCACTCTTACAGATTAAAAGGAATCTTAGAGCGTGGAAAAGAAGAGTTGGCGGAAGCCGAGATTATAAAAGATTCACCTGATTCTCCAGAGCCTCCAAACAAGAAGCCACTTGTTGAAATGGATGAAACTCCACAGGTAGAAAAATCAAAAGGTAAGATAGGACTTGTCACTGTGTGTGAGAAGTTTTCCAATTAAGCTCTATTTTGTACAGTGTCATTTAATGTTATGTATGTGAAGAGCTTCTGACTGTTTTTGGATGTTGTTTTGGAGAGTCCCTCTTTACAGCTTTGGAAAATATAGTCAGGGACCAGCAGTTAGCGTAATGGCTATGTCGCTGGACTCCCACGTAGTCGACCGCGGTTCGCTTCCCGGACCCGGTGGCTTAAAACTCACGCCAGGCGCATGTATGTGAGTGCCCAAGATCCCCCCGAGAGGAGAATGGAGGAGAAGGGATTGTGGCGTGGCCATTCCCCCCTGGGGGGTGATTTCTCGCTTTCTATCTCTTTATCTCTCTCTGTCTGGCGAGCACATGCACACTGTAGCAAAAACTTCTAAAAAAAAAAAAAGAAAATATAGTCAGAAAATAAAATTTTTAGCATCTATTAAAACATTAGTGTCATACCTCCATTATTGAAGCATTTGGTAAATAAGCACTTTTACTCTAAAGCCTGTGCTTTAAGATATTTGAACTGTATTCATTTGGATTTGCTTACATTCCTGACACTATACGATGTACTGGGTGGTTGAAAGCAAACTCTTTTCCCTAAACTCTTCTTGAACCTAGGAAAAGATGCAGTATCACTCACTTATTATTATTTGAACAAGTTTCAGTGAAAATATAAAAAATACTTTCACTGTAGAACCTTTTATCTTTTACTTATAGGCTGAAAGTTTAATTTCCTCTTGGTAGAATTCTAGGCACCAAAGATATGATTTGGAGGCCAGCAGGTGTCACAGTGTTTAAGACACTGGACTCCCACATGGCCACCTGCAGTTCAAGTCCTGGATCCAGCATCTTGAAACATACCAGGCACATGTGTGTGCATGTCCAAAATCCTGAGAGAAGGGGTTGCAGCATGGTCATCCCCCTTGGGGATGATTTCTTAGTTTCTCTCTCTATGTCTCCAGCCAGCACACATGGTCTGTAGCAATAATCTCTCTCAAAAAAAAAAAAAAAAAAAATCCCAAAAAACAAAAGATACGATTTGGGTTTGGGAGCCTTAGTTATCTTGAAGATTAAACTGAATTTAGTTCTTTTGGGTACCTGAGAAGTGATAGCCCTCTTCAGATTATCTGCTGTCTTGCCACTTTGTCTCCGAAAGCAGTAAGCCTCAAGGCTGGCCGGTTTACAATTACTGGCTGCTCATCCTAGGAAAAGGGGAGGCTGTACTTAAGGTTCCTTCCAGAAGATCCTCAAACTAGTGGTGGCCTTGGGGACCTTGAAATACATTCAGATTGTAGAATCAGAGGGGATTGATACTGCCTTTGTTGTGTGAAATGAATGATAGAATTCAAACTAAGTTTGTTAAATTTTTAAATTTTGAAATAATGAATTATTCTTTCATTTTTCTCTTCTTTCAAATATAATACCAGGGCCAGTATCCTTATTATCCTTGTGGAGTAATAGAATCAATACTGCCAATTCCAGAAAGCATCAGGAGTTTGCCGGACGTTTGAACTCTGTTAATAATAGAGCTGAGTTATATCAACATCTTAAAGAAGAAAATGGGTTTGTGTTATTTATTATAGAAATTGGTTTTGTTAATTGTCTGTGTAGTGCCTTAATAAATATTGTTTGTTGTATTCAGCAATTTTTTATTAGTAATATTGTGAAATTATATATGTTGCCTATAAGGAAGAAAAAATTAACCTCTGTAAGTCGTGGTACTTGTAAAAGACTTAACTATATTGATTATAACCCCGAAACTATTTAGTTCTTAAATCATTTTTTTCAATGCTTAGTAAACATCATAGAAAAATCTAGAAAACACTTAGTGTATAACACTAAATCTATACAAAGTAACAAGGAAGCTATTTCCTATCTATACCATGGATGGAATATTGATTATTACCTCACAAATATGTATAATTTTTTAAAGATATTTATTTAATTCCATTTGTTACTATTTTTAATTTGACCACAGAGAGGCAGAGAGAGAAGGAAAGTGAGAAACCAAGCCGCCAGGTCTGGGACTCAAACCACAGTCAGCCACGTGAGAATCAAGTGCCTATAACCACAATGCCACCTGCCAGGCCCACAAATATGTATAATTATTAAGTGTCAATTAAAATATTAATTATAGTAGAATAAAAGTCTGATTATTTTAATCTATTTTTAGAAGAAATTCTCTTAAAAATATGTTGGTAAAGAAATTTCTTTAGTGGAAAAGAGAATAAATTCTTGACTAAATGGTAGACAATTTTTCCTTAGTTTTTTTTAGGGAGGGAGAGTGAGGTAGTGAATAAAATGTAGCCTTTTAAATATATCTTTAGGGGAGGGTGAGAGGGAGGGAATTAAGGGGAAGAAGAAAGAAGAGAAACATTTAAGAAACTCAAAATGGAAAGAAATCTCTTGATTATAGTGTATATGGTAATGTCTTTTGACTGAACCGATACACAGTATATTCATGATGGGAAAATTCATTTAGTATGCTGTAATGATATACAGTAATTAAATGTAGAAAATAAATACATTTATTTAAAAGTAAAGAAATTATGATACAGTGCTAGTCCACTCTGATAAAGATCTCCCTCATTCCACACCTTTATAGTTGCCTCACCCTTTCCCCTCACCATCTCAGCCCTGGAAACTCCTAATCTGTTTTCCATCTCTGTAATTTTGAGATTGCTATTTAAATGGAATCACACAGTTTATGACTTTTTAAGATTGGCTTTTAAAATTAAGCGTAATACCCTAAAGATCCAAAAACTAAACAAATATAATGTAACCTTGGGAATGTCACTTAATCTCTAGGGCCTTAATTTTCACTCATCTGCAAAATGAGGAAGTTTGACTAACTAGAAGAATTCTAACTTTAGTCCTTCCCTAGAGTGCTAATGTTCGTCCATTCTGTGAATATATAGTCAGGTGTCGTGTGACAACAGGAATACATCCTGAAAAATAAGTGAGCTTCATAGAATGTTCTTACCCAACCCTCGTTGGTATTGAAGAGACTGAGGAAAGAAGACTGTGAGCTCAGAGCTGGCCCGGGCAGCATAGCGAGATGCTCTCTGTAAAAGAGCCATGTGCGGCTGTGCTCACCTGTAGTCCTAGCTGGGGTGCTGAGGCAAGAGGAGCATGACAGCCAGAACCTGTCTTTAAAAATAACGAAACAGCATATTTATCTACTGGTATCGACAAGGAGATTTAGAGCTGAACTTTAGAAAGCTAATTTACCGTATCTTATTTTGTATCGTCATGCTATGTATATGTGCAGACCTGTACTTCCATGATGTGGGGAAGGTGAGACTGCCAAGGAAAAAAATACCAGGACTCTTCCAAACTATATAGTAGGACAGTGAATGAATAATCGTTGGATTAAGTATGTTGAATACTCTCCTGCAGAAGTCTGATACATGATGTTCATGTTAACTGCAATTCTAAGTTCCCTCTTGTGTGGGAGACATACATCATAGATCACTTTGTTTTTATTTAAGGAGCTGATGTTACACTTAAACATTCCAACTCTTAAAGCTCAACAGCACAAGTAATTCTCACTTTTTTTTTTTTTTTGAGAGGTTTTTGTGATAGGGCGCGTGCACTCGCCAGACAGACAGAGAGAGACAGAGAGACAGAAAGCGAGAAATCCCCCCTCAGGGGGAATGGCCACGCTGCAGTCCCTTCTCCTCCATTCTCCTCTCGGGATCTTGGGCACGCATGCACACGCGCCCAGCGTGAGTTCTAAGCCACGGGGTCCGGGACACGAACCACGGTCGACTACGTGGAAGTCCAGCGACATAGCCATTACACTAACTGCTGGTCCGTCAGTAATTCTCACTTTTGAAATTAAAATTTTGTACAATGTAAGGGTATGGCAAAAGGCTATGTAACAAAAAAGATCTTGCATTTTAAGACATATTCTTTTATTTCTGTTAAACATACAATTATTCCATAGGCAACCAACTTTTGCTTATAACTACAATTTTATTTCACATTGACAAAACAGTAAAGACAGCTTTGTTTGTGAAGATCTAATTCCAATAATAAATAAAATAATTTATAAAAAAATAATAAAGAACCCTAAATAGTATCACCTACTACACCTAGGCTATATATAGCCTGTTATAATCTCAGAGGACCACTGTCATATATGCCATATGTTGTAGACCAAATGTTGTTACGTGATGCATGGGTATTAGATTTTAATTTTTATGTAAATTGTATATAATTAAGAAAAAAGTAGAGTTACTGAGTTTTATTTTACAAACTCTTTTTTTCTCTCCTGTTTTTCAGAATGGAGACCACAGAAAATGGAAAAGCCAGCCGACAGTGAAGAGTGACTTGAGGAACTAAATTTCATATATTGCATAAATATTTTGGGTGGAATTTGATATAAGTACTTTTACAGCAAGATTGTACAGTTATGTTGCCTGGACTGGTTTTTACATTTTTAAAATATTTCAACTATTTTTTTGGTACTAATTATAAAATTGGCTCATAGATCAAAAATATACGCTTGAGATTTGTCCTCCCAAATCACACAAATTTATTTTATGGTAAAAGGTGTTCCCTCTGAAATGTTTTTAAGAAAATCTTTAGGCTTATCTTTGCCAAATAAAGCTATTAAAATTTCTGAAATACAAAATATTGGAGTATTACTTGAGAAAAAATGTTTATTTAATGGCTGACAGCAACTTTTAGAAATTCTTTAAAAATATGATCAGAGTTTATGTGAGATTTGTGGGACTTAATATAAAATCTTGTAAATTTGCATCATAGGGCTTTTCCAAAAAGGAAGTTGTTTTCAATTATTTTGTGTGTGTATGTGTGTGTTACCCATTTAGAAACCGAGTCTTCAGGTAGTTGGGTATAATTTTATATTTACTAGTGTTGGATAATGTTCCTTTTTTTCCTACTAAAAATTTATTGTTCATTGACTTCATATTGAAAGCAAAACATAAAAGATTAATTTGCAGACTTAAAAGAAAGGGAAGTTACTAGGTTGTTTTTCTCTCTGGATGGAATCTTGGTCTCCTCGTTGATCAGAAGTATTGTCATGGTTTTGTGTTGGTGAGCTGTCTTCCTGTGCTTCTTCACCTGGAAGCTTATAACATGTTGCAAGAAATGTGTTATTTTAATGTTAAACACTAACTCTAGGTTTGTCATTTTTTTCTTGAGTGTTTATTTGAGAAGGAAAAAGCTCTGTGTTTAAATATACAGATTTAATATTTTCTATTTAAAAAGCAAAACAAAACAAAACAAAATGTGTTTAAACCATGGTTGAGCAGGTTCCCATATCAGCCTGGTAAAATTTACAGTGCTCTCATTTGTCAACTCCTGTCTCATCTCTGTCTTTGCCCCAGTTCTCTTCCCTAAGCTAGAACCAGTTTTTATTTCTGACCACTGTGCTTAGATAGATGTGCTAGGGGACTTCAAATAGTTTGTGGAAAAATTGAATTAAAGTATGAGTTTATTTTGGTGCAAAAAAATTTTATTCTATGCATAATTTTTTCATAACGTGCATTTTCCATGAACTTTTAAAGACCTCCTTGTCTTTGCATACTTAAGTGTGAACAGGCCTGACTTATGAGATTTAAGAAACTATAACCCAGTACCTAACTTAAAGATGATATTTACTTTTGTTTTAAGGGATTTTTGCTATAAGATGTGTGTGCTCCCCAAAGGGACAGAGAGAGAGAAACAAGAAGCAAGAACTCTCCCCCCAGGGGAGATGGCCTCTCTGCAGTCTGTTCTCTTCCATTCTTCTATTGGGATTTTGGTCACGCACACACACACACCCAGTGTGAATTTTGAGCTGCTGGGTCTGGGACTCGAACTATGATGGACTGCATGGAGTCTAGCAAGGTAACCATTATGTCATCTGCTGGTCCCTGATACTAACTTTTGAATGAGCTCTGTTCTTTTGTATCTTGTTCTTTTAAAAAAAAGAAAAAGAAAAGAAACTTTTAATTCCCAGAGGACACATGCACTCTCTAGAGAAAGAGAGAGACAAAGAGGAAGTACTGACCCCCATCCCCAAATGGCATATGGTCACAGTGCAATCCTTTTTTCCTCATTTCTTTTTCCCTTCAAGATTTTGGGTATACATATACATGGTGTGGCATTTTTCTAAGCCATTAGGGTCAGGATTTGAATTATGATTGCCCACCTGGGATTTTTTTTTTTTTTTTTTTTTGGTAACATTTTGCTATGGGTGCTTGCACTTGCCAGGAACAGAAAAAGAGAGAGAAAGAGAGATCATTCCCAGGGAGGATGACCACACCTCAGTCCCTTCTCTGTTCTCCTCTTGTGACCTTGGGCACATACGCACACATGCCTGGTGTGATTTTCAAGCTACTGGGTCTAGGACTCAAACCATGGTGTTGACCTTGTGGGAATCCAGCACCTTACCCTCTATGCTACCTACTAGCCTCATGAAATTTTTTTTTTATTTTATTTTTTTTATGTGTAGCACTTGACTGCTATGCTTATGGGGCTAGTCCTTGTATCTTACTCTTGCTATACAGTTTCCAATTTGGGGTTGTGGGTCTGTGGTCTATTTTTTTTGAGAGGTTTTCGCTATAGGGCACGTGCGCTTGCCAGACAGACAGAGACATAGAGACAGAAAGCGAGAAATCACCTCCCAGGGGGGATGGTCACGCCGCAATCCCTTCTCCTCCATTCTCCTCTTGGGATCTTGGGCATGCACACACACGCGCCCGGTGTGAGTTCTAAACCACCAGGTCCGGGACGCGAACCGTGGTCAACTACGTGGGAGTCCAGTGACATAGCCATTATGCTAACTGCTGTTCCCTGTGGTCTATTTTTGATCCAGAATTCTTTCATTCATAACCTATCTTCAAAGACTGGGATTTTGTTTTCCTCTCAATGTATGCTTCTATGTTGCCCATGAACCAAGACCATCCTACTTGCTGACAGTCTTAGCTACTTTACAGTTTCCATTTTTAGATGTCATTTATTTATTTACTTATTTTTAAAAAATATTTATTTAATGTTGTTATTATTTTTTATTTGCTGTTGGACACACCCACTCACCAGAGAGAGAAAGTGAGAAAGCAAGCTGTGAGGCCTGGGACTCAAACCACAGTTGGCCATATCGGAGTCCAGCGTCTTAACTATGATGCCACCGGCTGGCCCTCTTTAGATACTGTTTATGAACTTCCGTTAATATGTTCTACTAACTGGGGGACTGTGTCTATGGATACATTTTGAACCATGCCAGTAACTTTTAGTATTATTCCATGTGTTGGTTGTTAAACTCACCACCCTACTCATTCTGCAACTTTGACTCATTCTGCAACTCATTCTGCATGCTTAACTGTATGTTCTTTCAGCACTCAGCCCACCCCTTACAGAGAGTCCATTTTTTGAGGATATTCTAGGCAAGATAAATAATAAATATAATTTTTAAAAAATTTTGGCTGGACTATAGTGCTGGAAGCCATATGGCCAGCCACAGGTTCAGATCCCTGGCCAGGTTGACCTAGAATAAGACAGATTTACATACATGTGCTCAGAGTTTTGAAGGGGTGGAGAACTGGAGGAGGATAGTGGCATGATAAGACCCAGCCAGGGGTGCTTCTCTTTCTCTCTGTCATGCATACCTGTACTCTTATACACACACACACACACACACACACACACACACACCATATATATTCCTCATCCATACTGGAATGATAAGTCCAGACTTAATGATTGTGGAATCAAAGTTACCCTATAGAGAACAGATGCACTTTCAAGTTTGTTAAGAGATTTGGCTGAAAAGGTCTTTATTTTTGTAATTATAGTGTAAGGTATTTATAGTCTTAAAACACATTTGACAAACTATTACACAGTATTAGTTACTGTAAGATTTTTGTTAAAAAAAAAAAAAAAAACTCCAGTGTATTTTAATTTTATTTAAAATCATGACATGGATGTGCAAAACCATCACAGTTTATACAGAATTAGTAATATCCCGGAGACCTGCTCCAGCTGGGGTGGGTTGAGACTCGATGGAAAGCGATGCAGGCGAGAAGAAGTCAGGCAGAGACCTCTATGCTCTTTAGCATGTTCTTAGCCGACTACAGTCAGAGCAAGCTCAAGACTGCAGCCTCTGTGGCTAGGAGACATACATTTTTATTGAGTGATGTTTACAGGAGTAGGAGGGGTGAGAGGGAGGGAGGTAAAAGATTTTACTCTAGAAAGTAAGGTATTCAAAGCATAGGAACAATAATCGTAAAACATGATGTCTGTTTTGTTTGATTAGGTATAAACAGTCACAGTCCTCAGGGAGAGGAAGTCCATCTGTCCGGTGCATTTTCTTCTTAGATCTTGATTACTGGATAGGGCCATTTTGGATGAGGGGATTTTCTTAGCTCAGGAGACAACACAGGATGTTTTATTAGCAGTTTTTCATAGTTTACAGCACACAGAGGAGAAACCTTTTGTAGTTAGGAACTGTTGCCTGCCTGAATTTTGATAAGAACTCTCAGTTAAGATAGGTAATCTCCCCCTGGCACCTTTAGGTTTGTTCATCCTGTCATTGCCAGTCAGACCTGCCCTTCCTCTGTTAACCCACAAATTCCTGTATCTTATTTGCTGAATTCCTGTCTGTTAATCATCGAATTTTTGTGCCCCATCTTTGAATCCCTGTCATGGCGGTGGATGTGCTAACTCGGTTTAACATAGGCTAACTTGGCCTGTAGTCCTAACAAGAGGTGTTTATGCAAACTTAGTCTTAAACTGATTTAGTCTACATATGCTAATTATGCTAATTCAGCTTATACTAACTCAGTCTAAGATATGCTAATTCGGCCTAACAGGGGCGTGTGGTGAATCTCAGGAAGTAATTCCCTGATCACTGCTGCCTTAGGGGTCCTCATTCTTTCAGGATTATTAGTTGGTTTTATTGTAAAAGTTATAGTAAGGCTGGGGGTGTTATTGTACCCTTGCGGGGTACCGTAATGACAGTAAAACCCATGGCAGAGAGTCTGAGAGCAAAACCAGCACAAACCAGCTCAACAAACACGAAATCCCAAGCTCATAGCTGTGGTCTTTGCCTGCAGCTCTTCTCACCCAAGCCTTGCTTAGACATGAGAGGCAGCTCTCTAGACTGCCTGTGTTGGCTGCATGGCTACTGCCAGTAAGATATATATATCTATTTATATATATTATATATATATATAAATCTCTTAGGAAAAGAAAAGTACTATAGGAGCTGCAGAGATATTCAGAATGAATATTGAAAGTACACCTGGAGAGGCTAACCAAGATGCTAGAAGGGACTTCCAAAAAGCCATTTACATACAGTGTTGGGAATACAAATGAAATTGCAGCAATGAGTGAAATATGAAGATGGTAGAGACTGTAAATGTTTGCTGTTTCAGAACTGTGGTTAACAAAGCTGTCCTGTTAAGGTGGCTTGATAGCACAATTGAGGGAAAGTTTGTTATTTTTTTGTTAATCTC